CACAAAGTTTATATGGACACACAGACGGACAGATGGATAGACGGACAGATGGAAAGACGGACAGACGGACATAGCTAAATCGATTCAGAAAGTGATTCTAGGCGGATTGATATACTTTAAGGATGATGTAGGTAGCATCGCATTTACATATATATTTTTGAGATTTTTTATCCTGATACCGAGAATAGAATTTTGGAAGGCACAGGATTATGATCATAACGAAAAAAATAGACGAACTGATATGACTCTGGAACACTTATATGACACTGCCAGTCAATCGGCTTATAGAAATAATTTTGAATTGATTTTGCAATACATGCCGCACAAACATCATCAAAAATACATCATACACTCGTTATAATAGTGGCATAGGGTATAAACAAGTACAAAAGAAGAGTCACTTAAGTTGCTTAACAAGACAACAGGGTGTGTAAACAAACATTTTAGCAAAAAAATAAAAAAAAGCGTAAAATGCATACCATTTCATTCATACTTGGGAATAATACTTGCAACAAGTTTAAAAAGCTTTTATATAAATACTGATGATGATGATGCTAAATGGTTATTTAATCAAACTTTATATATTATTTGTCTTCTTATTTAACATTTTAATTGCAATCACAGAATATGTCTACAAATGTCTACTAAAAAAGTAAACTATAAAAATGTCTGTGACTGTGATCAAGAATGGTACAAGGTGACTCACTACCATTTATGGTAAATCCATCATCAACAACGCTATCGAGTCAATAAGTATTATTATTTCAATCATTAGTAGATATTTTCTTGTATTTCTTTAATAAAATAATGTTTAAAAAAAATTATACTACATGTAGGCGTTTTCGTAATTGTGTAAATGTATGTATTTAAACGTGTCTACTTTTTTATGTGTTTTTAAAGTTATAACCACATTTAGAAACTTGATTTGACAGTTCTTGTATGTTTTTTTTCAATTCAACTGATTCTTAACTTATTAAGTCTTGTAGCCTACAAACTGTTTTTGTAAGACAAGAAATTTTATATTCTTGTGTATTAAAAACAAGAAGAAAATAAATATCTTAAACAATATAGAATTGAATTTGCAAAATGTTTGATTGATTGATTAGTAATCTAAGCGGCAAAGAAATATGTTAAATAAAATATAACGGAGTATTTGGTTTAAAAGATACGTTAGATTGATATATCTTAATATGGGTTTTAATTTTAAGATCACATGCTTAATATTAAGTACCTAGATTGTAGTGGGCTGCTTTCACAAACATTATTCGTGAGTTCTTATTTATTAATTATACCCACCATCAAAAAAGATGGGGGGTATATTGATTTTGTCATTCCGTTTGTAACACATCGAAATATTGGTCATAGACCCACAAAAGTATATATATGATGGGTCCTCATTAAATTCTAAGACGATCTAGCCATGTCTGTCCGTCTGTATGTCTGTCTGTCTGTCTGTCTGTCTGTCTGTCTGTCTGTCTGTCCGTCTGTCTGTCTATTGAAAGCACGATAGAGTCCGAATGGAAAGAGCTAGAGGATTGAAATTTCACATAAATATTTCTTATAGGTAAGGTTCGTTTGGTATTGAAAATGGGCACTATGGGTCCACGTTTTCGGATAGGCCCCATACAAGTGGCCCCTCGAAAAGCAGCTTTAACAGCCATAACTTGTTTAAAAATACGAATATAGCGATGAAATTCGACATATGTAAGTTTCTTATGATCCAAAATCACTATGCAAAATTGTATGAGGATCGGTCCATAATTGACCCTACCCCCCAAATAAGGTCCCCTTCAGAAAATGATATTAACGCTCATTACTGGCTTAAAAATACTAGTATATAGATGAAATTCGACATAAGTAAGTTTCATACGAGTCAAAATCTATCTAAAAAATTTTATGATGATTGACCCTACCCCCCATATAAGGTCCCCTTCAGAAAATGACTGCAACGCTCATTAATGGTTTAAAAATACGAGTGTAGCGATGAAATTCGACACAAATAAATTTAATACGAACCAAATTCTGTCTACCAAATTTTATGAGGTCCCCTTCAGAAAATTACTTTAACGCTTATAACTGGCCTAAATATACGAGTATACAGATAAAATTCGACATAAGTAAGTTTTATTTGAGTCAAACGAGGTTTGATGGTGGGTATATAAGATTCGGCATAGCCGAATATAACATTCTTACTTTTTTTTTTTTAAATATCAAACATTTTAAAATTTAAGTTTTGACTCAGAAGATGTTATTGGTAGTAATTATGATTTCTCGAATTCCTAAGCAATTTTTAATTTTTCGGAATTGGTTTTCTTAAAGATTGAAATTTAAATGATAAAAGATCTAATAATTTACCAACGTAATGATGCGATGAAACTTTGATGATGTATATGATATATGAACAATGGTGTATGATTGAAGAGCGAACTCAAAATTTGATCATGTAAAAAAACGATCATTTGCTTACTCGGTATCAGCAGAAGTGCACCATGAAGCATATTTCCCCTTCTGCCCAAATGACAGGCAAATTTCTAGTTTATTAGACTCGTGTATTATATTTTCCATATAAACATATTACACCCTGTAACAATTTTGAAAAAAAGCTTTCACACATGGAAAAGCTGATATGCATGTGAAACTAGATACCATTTATAGCAATTCTGCGTACTCCGATTTTTATAATCAGCTCTTATGTCCTTAAAAAAGGACTTCAAAATTTAAAGGTCTTACTATTTCAAACGAATATTTAAAATATTTATATGTATTCTATGATGCTAATATTGATATCAAATGTAAGCTGGGGTCTTATTTTCGAAACCAAAATTTTTAACTAATTTTTTGTGACAAATTTTCTTTAAGCTTGCGTTTCTTTTTTAATCCTGATGAATTGAAATAAATCATATTATTTTGAAGCAGAGGTTCTCAGCTTCATTTGATATTAATATTAATACCAACTTTTTTAATATAAATATGGAATTCCATCTTTTGAAACCGTATGTCCTTTAAACTTTAAAGTCCTTTTACAGGAGCATAAGAGCTGATTATGAAAAACTGAGTACACAGAGTTAATAATGTGCACATAGATTTGTTCATTTTTTCATATCAATGTATAGGAAATTGTGCCCACATTTCAAAGGAGTGTTAATACACTTATGGTGAATCTGTTCCATAAATTACAACATGCGAGAGTTGTTTTATGCGGTTCATAAGCAAAAATCACTCATCAAACAAGTTTGAAGAATTGGTCTTCACGAGAGCTAAAATCATTACTCAAGCAATTGTCAAATATGTTTGGGTATCATACGAACTAAAGCCGAGAGACCCTGTAAAATACCTTTCCATGTTTGAAATGCTACTTACAATAAGAAAGAGATCGTATATGAAGCCTGGTTAAGCAATACTATAGACAACAAAGCCAAATATTCATGGCGCAAAGATAATGCTCTGCATTTGGTGGCAACAAAAGAGTCCAATCTCTCACAGAATGCTGAAATCTGGCCAGATAAAAACAACATGCAACCGATTCGTTTGAAGTGGAATTTGTCCGAAAATGATCAGAATATGCGATCATACATAAAAATATAATAATTAGCGGCATTATTCCATGAAGATTGTTGTTAAACTTAACAAGAACTTGGAAATTTATTACTAGCTGTTCATGCAACAATTCCAAAACGTTTTCGAGCAGCAGGATTTATCCAGAAGCGGAGAAATTGGGTACCATACGAATTGAAGGAGCTTGGATGATGATTTTGCATGAACGTCATGCTGCACTGAATCATTACTTGCGATTGAAAAATGGTTTTACTATATAAACTGAAATATAAGAGATTGTGTGTGAAAGGACCGGCCTGTCAATTCGATTGCCTAATATCAATTGATCTAAAGTAATGTTCTGCATTTGGGGGGCCAAAAAAATATCTGTTATGATCTGCTAAAATCTGGCTAGATCAGTGTATTGAATTCAAACTATTCTTTTCAAGCGAGCATTTGCCAAAATATGCTCAGAATCTGGCCAGAAATGAAATGGCCATATGTTGTAGTAACTGTTTAAAACTGTTTAGAAGGAAGTGGTTGGTGAGTTCTGCCTCACTCCCCAGCAAAAATAAAACGAAGTACTTCCAAAAGAATAACATTTATCACCATTTTAAAAGTAGCACTAACTGAATTTTTTTACCTTCTGAGGAAGTGATGTTTAAAGACTTCCGAAGAAGCGAAAATAATTATATATTTTCAATGTTGAAGATATATTTTTTGTTCTTACATTTTTATGAGATAAAAATGTTATATTTGGGCTTTTGTATTAAATGTTTTTTTTTTAACCTAATTAATGTTAATATTATTTCAGTCAAAATAGTTGTATTCTATAATACTACAATTTCACTTCCGATTAACTTCCAAAAGAAAAGCATTAAAATTACTTCTTCAGAATGACTTCAGAAGTAGTGAATTTGGAATCAAACAAAAAAAATAACAAGCCTGTGTTAAAATCATCATTTCTTCAGGTCTTTTTCAGTACTTCCATGGAGTAAATTATACTTCTTTTTCGCTTCTTTGGAAGTTCTTTTTTTGCTGGGTCGCCAAATAGTCTAGATCAGCTTCGATCTCTCTAGGATATTAGAAAATAAAAAAGTTTAACCAAATTTTAAAAATTTGAGTTAAATATAGAAAATTTCGTTAGAATAAATCCATTAAACATCTACAAACATAATTTTATATTTATCTTTACACTTAATAATAATCTTTTCAAAAATCCTTTTTAAAATCAAATATTATTAAGTAATTTACCAAAAAGAAACCGAAAAAAGTGTAGGTGTTATAAAACACCTTGACATTTATAGCCGTCAAAACATGTTAAAAGATGTTAAATAAAATCATAAAAAAATACATTTTAACAACTTAACACGACACTTAAACCTAATAAAAATGGTTAAAAATTCTCAAATATATAAGTATTAACTAAAAATAACTTTAATAGTTTATAAAGCTTTTAAACTTACCACAATTTTTGCATTTACATTAAAAAGTTTCGTTGTTGTTTTTATTGCTGTTACTGCGGCCAGACTCTTAAACTAAATTAACTCCCCACTGGTTGGTTGTTTACGTTTTTTTTTATTTATTTCTTTTAATAATTCTCTTTTAAAAGTCTCCAAAATTATATACTTTCCCAAAAAAACGAAGTTTTCCTTTCTTATAGTTTAAACTTAATTCAACACTATAACAAAAAATAAAAAAAAGTGGAAAAAATAAACAAACATGAAAAAAATTATAAACTTTTATATTTTTTTGGCCAAAAGGTTTGAAAACTTGTTGTTGTTGTATTTGTTGCAATGAAAGGTTTGAGTGATTTTTTTCTGCTTTTTTTTCATTTGAAGATGTTTAAAATTATAAATATTTTTAATATGAATTTGTAGTTTTTGTTGTTGTTGTATATTTTATAAATTTTAGGGTCTGGTTTGACAACTACTACATTTTACAATGTTTATTATTATTATTATGGTTGTTGTTGCTGTTGTTTTTGTTATTGTAGTAGCTGTTGAGTTGTTGTACTTATAAGTAGTTTCAAGTACTTGTTCAAATAATAATAAAACATTATAATGTTTATTTTTTTATTTTTTTGTATGTTAAAAAAATATTGCACATACAATTAACACAGTTTAACAAAAAAAGGTAAAAAAGAAAGAAAAAATAAAATAAATAATAAAATAAAAATAAAAGGAAAAACACGCAACCTAGATTACCTTGGGAGATGAATTTTGTTTTTTATCTTTTTTGGTTGTAGTTTATTTTCAATTTATGTGAATAAAAGTTATTTATGTGTTTTTTTTTGCAAAAATAAATAAAATTAATTTTTGTGGGAAATAGTAAGCTTCCTTAATAATTTGTGTTTAATCGACTTTAAAATTAAGCATAATTGAAAAATATTTACTATGATGTATTTAGGTTTAAAATTTATCGCCTATTATATTGTTTAATGTTTCAGTTTATCATAGAGAGAAGAGACATTTTCATTACTCAAGATAAACTCTATTTTGACACACTTTTCTCAAGCAAGATCGAAATCCGTCAATCGAAACCAAAGACTCATTTCTAGCTAGAATTATCATGGATTTTTCAACAAAAATTAAAATATCATAAGACGACTTAAGATATTTTGCTTCATTACCGATCGATATGTAAACAGAGTGTCATTGAAATTGTTAACTATGTTTTTGGTATATATCCATTAACCCAAATTAAATTGAACCAGACAAATGAAATCATTAAATTTGCAAACAAACAGAAAAAAAAATCAATTAGTGATAATAGAGTTGTAATTTTGAGTAACTTATAATCGATACAAAAGTTATAATTACTCTGGTTTCAAAATCAGCTTTAAACATTAAATTTAACTCTTTTAAAAATTAAACAAAATCAAATTAAGACAAAGTCTACACAATATTGCCTTCAATGTAGTGCTGCCAAAGTGCTAAACACTGGGTACTGAGTAACGAATAATTGTATATTTAAAAATCTAAAATTAGCATCATTACCATCAGAGTTAACTCCAAAGTTATGGAGTAAACTTTGGAGTTAACTTTGATGATAATTTGTTTTCTTTGTGAAATCTTACAGTTTTATCACGATTAACACATTGAAACATTTAACCGGTATTCGGTTTCGGTATTCGTATTAGCACTCCACTATAGTGCAGTGGGTCTGTCTGCCTATCTGACGCCACTACATAGACTTAAATGCTTTACTATTAATCTACATTTTTAACATACTGATCACTGGTATAGGGTATCATATGGTCGGCCAAGGATTTGTCACAGTCATTGCATGAAAAATTAAAAAAAATATATTTTTTTAAAATGCATTACGGAGCTCAATTTCGATAATCACTTTTGCTCCAAGATTCCACAGAGGAATTCCCAATTAGAACCCCAACCACCTCCAGATGTAACTACACAGAGGGAAAAAGAAATATACATGCCTGGTACCAAATTGACACCAAACTATTTTTCAATAACATCCGTTGTCAAAGTATATACATACGTACGATAACACTATGTAATGTTGACAACATTGCCAGAATTCGTTGTCGAAATCTACCACGTTTGTTAATATTTAGACAACGGATGTGTATAAAATTTAGATTTCGACAACGAATTGTAGCAATGTTGACAACGTTGCATTGTCAACATTACATAGTGTTGTCGTAGAAATATCTGCTGTCAAACGAGCACCGAATTAGCTAAAGTGCTATCACATATCGGGGGATATATGTATATATATTGACAGTCGTAGAAATATCTGCTATCAAACGAGCAGCAAATTAGCTAAAGTACTATCACATATCGGGGGATATATGTATATATACTGACAGCAAAGCTTCTAACAAATATCTAGCGGGTGTCTTCACAACATCTAGTGTAATCAAAGAATGTCGGGTATCTCTAAATGAGATAGCGAGATATTCTAGTATTACACTAATATGGGTCCCTGGGTCATGATGAATTTCAGGGTAACTGTATAGTTAATGAATTAGCCATAAACGGCGAGAAGTTGGATGAGGAAGAAATCGACGCTTTTACTGGTATCTCTCTTACGAACTGTAAGAATCTTGTTCTTAAGGAACTGTTTGGGAAAGCCCAAATCAGGTGGTTCAGTGAAACCAATTGTCAGATCTCGAGGTCTATTTGGCCTCTATATGATGCTCTTAGTTCAAGACTACACATAAGAACGCTTGTATAATTAATTGCAGGACACTGTGTCATAGGCACTCATGCCGGGAGACTAGGCCTTGTTTATAATGGCTACTGCAGAAGTTGTCTTAATGAGGAAGAAGTTGAGACGATATCGCATCTACTTTGCTATTGCCAACATCACATTGCTGCTCTCTTCTTGTCAGGTATGGAGGAGCTTTCTCGGAGATGTGTGAAGTATATCCTATGCTTCATAAATAAAACCAGATGGTTTAGTTCTGAAAGCAGAAAGTGACTTCAAAACACACTCCTGCGACCACTAGGGACTAACTTAAATATACCTAACCTAAAATGCTATATGGTGAAGAGTACAAAAGATTCGATATCGCTGAATATAAGTATCTCTCTTATTTGTTTAATACTCTACAAATTTGCTACAAACATTTCGTAGCTAATGTTAATCATCAGTTTGTTATAAAAACTGCCTTCAATAGATTTAAACTTTATTATACTAATCAATAACTTAAAGCTGTGTATTTGAATTAAACCATGTTAAAGTTAATTCTAAATTATACATACAATTATTACTTGCACAGGTATTTTTAATAAGATTTTTTTTTTTTTTTGCAAACAATTAGTTCCAGAGATTGATTAAGAAAAAATAAACGAATAATTTAGGTTGCTAATGATTTCCTTTAAACTCCAAACAAAATAATAATCAATAATTTTTTCCTTCTTTTTATGTTAAAACCACTTATTATATATAACTATTATTTAATTTATTTTTTTTGTGTGTGTGTTTTTTTTTTCATATTAATTTTTATTTTGCCTTATAAATTTGTTTATTATGTGGGTTTCTTTTCTTTAAATAATGATGATAAATTTGTGTTTCAGTTTTGTCTTGTATATTTTATTTCACAAAAATGTTTGCGTTGGTTTTATGACCTTCATTGCTTTGAAACACTTAACCAGTTAAAGGTGTATTTTTTAAATTTTTTTCTTTAGTTTGGGTTGGTTTGTTAAAGTAAAATTATTGAACTTTATTTTTCAAGAAAATTCAATGAATTTTTGTTTATTTCAAGATTTTTTTGTTATTTGCCAATTAAAAGCTTTAGTTTTTTAATGCCAATTGAATTTTTTAATATTTTTTTTTACTTTTAAGCACTTTTGTATATTTTTGTTTAATTTTATTATTTTATGTAAATTTTGTTTAACGTCATAGAGTTGTGTGTTTGTAAGTATGTATAGGTTTCTAATACTCTATTCACTATTAGAGACACCACTACTTAGACAAAGTATAAAAAAGCTTAAGAGCATTAGATCAGCTTTTTGCGAAATATATTTTTCTTTTGGTTTTGTCAAACTAGTTTTGTTAAATATTTTTTATTATATAAAAATCTTTTTTAACTTTTATTATTCATTTATGTTTCGATTTTATAACAATTCAATTTTATAATAATTTTGTTTATTAATAACTAGATCATCCACTAAAAACACTTTATTTTTATTAATTTGTTGCTCTTTTTCTCATTTTTTTTCTCTCTAATATTTTTTTGTTTTTAGCAACTACAGTTTTGTGAATTTTTATTCTGTTAATCGCGTATTTGATTTAATTTTGTTGTATTACCTTTCCGTAACGTTAACCCGTTCTATTCAGTTACCACCTCACGACTGGCAACAAAAAGTTTTGCTTGTTTTAGCCATATTCCATTCATTTGCAATCTGTTGAGCTGGTGTGTTTGTCTGGTTAGCTGTCTGTCTGTCGGTTTGCTCGATCTCCTACCTGTGTAGTGTGTATTAAGATTGAATTTACGTTTTTTACTTACCACACAGTTAACAAACGTTATAAAGCTTAAGTTTATCTGGCCAAACGTAATAATGATCCATACCTAGTACTCCATACTCAAATCAGTCAGTTTGTTTGCAGTACACTCTAAATAGTGGAGACTTTTTCTACCTGTCTTGTGTGCCTAAACTCACCACAGTTTGAACTCTAACGTTTGTTAGTTGTGTGTTTAACTAACGCTTTTATGATTATTTTTAAAGTATTTTTAATTCATGGTGAGTTTCTATTCACTTTATGGTTATTTCAAGGTAAATTGCTTCATATTTAGTTAGTTAGACATTGTTTTGTCGGTGTTTGGGTGAGTGTAAAATTTTTGTTTTATTACTCTCACAATTCGTTAGTTATAATATTTTTTAATTTTTTTCTTTTTAGCCAAATCTAACATTATTGTTGTCTTGTAATGTGTGTATAGTTTTTATAATGTTTAGAAAAAAAAAAAAAAAACTATTGTGTATTTTCGGCTTCGCTGATTTTTGGGTGCTGTTAGAATTTATTTGTTTTGGTGTTTTGTTTTTATTTTATATTTTAGTCTTGTTTTTCTTTAGTTACTCTTTTTATATATTAGTAATAGCTTAACCCTTTAAATTTGGCAAATTTCAAAACTTGATCAGTTAACATTACACATAGCGATTAATTAAACAAATCAATAGTAAAATGTACTTAACTAAAATAAAAATGTATTATACCCTCCACCATCATCAGTGGTGATAGAGGGTATTTATAAGTTTTTCCGTGTGTATTCTGGTTCCTTATGAAATTCTAAGTCGATTTAGCTGTGTCCGTCTGTCTGTCTGTCCGTCCGTCTGTCTATCCGTCTGTCTGCCTCAAACATTCTCACGTTAAAACTAAGCAAAAGAAATCTGCCAAATTTCCTGAAAATATGCAGTATTGTCCTGAGCAGTTTGGAATTGAAAATCAGCCAAATCGGTTTACAACGTAAAAAGTTATGAGTAAGAATTTCAGACTACCTCGAAAAAATTACTTTTTTTTTAATTCTTGAGTAGTTTTCTCAGAAACTACTAAAGATAATTGGAGGAATTTTGTCACACGTTATTTTCTTTGCCCAGGGATCAAATATGTTCGAACTCAAAACAAACGATTCAAAATTTCCCATAGCCCCTTTGTACATATTCTTGGAAATAGATTTATCGTTAATAACTTCGGCAAAAATATCGGTATCAAATTTCGTACATATGTATGTATATAATATGAACAGAAATCATATTTCTAACGTAGATCTGTATAGGTCCATTATTGGTCATAGCTCCCATATAAGGTCCACTTTTGAAAAATACTTACTTTCCGATAACCACGTAAACGCTCATATTTCATAACTGAATGAAGATATCGGATTATTAGCTTTTGTTTTTAAATATTTGTAAAATATACAGTTATTCCAAGTATTAAATGACCTTGACCTTTTCCCATATTTCTGTCATCATAAGGATTATTCGTCAAAAAAGACAAAGAGTTCGATCCACAAGTAGTTATTGAACGGACAAGGTCTTACTAACCAGTTCTTTCTAAATAGTTTGCCATAGTTTGTGACTGAGCATTGTAATAATGAAATATTACATATCTGGCCTCATATTCTAGGAGTTTCTCGCTCAATGTTATGTTATGATGATCTGGTCAGATTTCAATACGTCATATTAAACTCTGATGTCGATTCAACTTGTTAGACGGGCTTCATATACGATCTCTTACACTTCGGGTTATCATTATGCATTCATATTTCATCCCAAGTAATGAATCGGTTTGTTTTATTTTAAAGCGCCCAAGCCGCATTTCGGATATACAAAATCAATTTTCAAGGTCTCTCGGCTTTAATTAGTATGGTACGCAATTTTCCTGCTTTGGGTGAATTCTGCTGCTCACGAGCGCTGCTTGAATAGCTGCCAATGATTTTGTAAGAAATTTTTGAGTTAATAACAGGTTTTGGTCTTCCAACTTTTTTCGGTGGCCTGAACGATCATCACTTTTGAACCTCATAATTTAAATATAACCGATGGAATACCATAAGCTTCGGTTGGTGATCTTTATCAGCACTTTTATTTAAAGCAAAACTTCTCGACTATGGAACTTTGTTGGCACAAAATTCGAAATTTTCGATACATAGAGGAAAATGACACAAAATAAGTCTTGTAACTTTCGGGGCAGAAATCTAATATATGCGTTTTACCCCGTGTTTAATTAGTTATGTCTTTTGCTTTAAAACGAGAAAGGTCTGTAATAAAGATATTGACAACTTTTAGGTAAAAATTCAAAAAATTTTAAATCTATTCATTAACAAGCTTCAGTAAAGTTTTAATATAATTTCAATAGCATTTAATTGTTATTTAATCCAGCTGTTAATATAATCAAAATGATTAATAAGTTGTTTATTCAAATATAATAGTGGTCGGCTTAAAGTGAGTTAAATCCACACACTATATCAAAACATTGCTATTGTTTTGTGAAGCTTTGTTTAAAACCGTTATTTTTAAAATTTGAAATATTTGAAAGGCAGCCGTCAATAAAAAAAGATACAAATAAGTATTAAGTAACTCTAAAGCTTAACAGTAATATGAATAATTTGATTATAATTTTTGCACATTTAATCAAAAGGTTTTGTTATAAACATATTGTAGAGTTTTTAAACAAATAACTCAGCTGCCTACGAAACAATTGTGATATAAACCGAGTAAAATTAAACAAAGTTTTATTAAAAGCAATTGATTCAAACCTTAATTTCTCTACAAATAAACTTAATTAATTCTTATAGCTAACTTAATATGTTCCTCCTAAACAAAACCACTAATAATTATTTAGCAGTCATTTGTTTTCCTTTAAACATGTCTCACTTTAGTGCCAATTAATATGCATTTTTTTTATTCAGCAGTAATTCATCTTAAAACAACAAACTGATGTCATTTTATTTCAATCATTAAAACAAACATTCCTCCATATGTTTTAAAAGTCATAAACATTTTATGTCACCTTATAGAAATGAAAATTATAGGATTTTTTCCGTTATTATAAATCTTGCTTTCTTATTCAATTGGCACGTTTTTCTATAATATTTGATTTTATATCATTTAATTATACTTCAATGTTATACATGATTTAATAATTTTTAACAGTTTTTATAGAAACAACAAAAAAAAAAAAACAGATCAAATGAATTTTGTGTTTAGAAAACAAAAGACTTAAGCAACAAACCAGTTCTTTATAAAAATACTTCAAATGGATTGTTTTTAGACTTCATACATACTTACTGCTTCTAACATGTTTTCATTGTTTGCTGAAGTATTTTTTTCCTTTATTTTTTTGCAATTTTTTATATATTTATACATAAGTGTTAGTCTTGAAAATGTGTGTATATGATTTTTATTCTAAGCTCTGATAATTTAAATTGTAATTTAATATTAATTATACACTTATAGAAATTATAGTTTCTGCTGTCTGACTTATAAGGCGAGAATTTGTTGAAATTGAAAACAGAAAGGAAATAGTTTTTCTTACAAGTACTTAATAAAGTTTATATAGCAAAATGTTTGTGACTTATATAGAAAAACTCTCCATATTTTGCGCAAATTTTTTTTTTTATATTTTACCCAAAAACATTTTATATAATTAATTGGTACAAATTATGCGGTTTTTTCGTTATTTGAAATTTGACATTTTTTACTTATTCGAGCGATTAATGGGCAAAAATTCATTGATTAACCGATTGATGGTTAATCGTTTGAATACTCTAGTTTTTCCCCTAAAAACCTACATTTATGATTCCTTCCTAGATTTCTGGCATCATATGGATTCTGTCCCAAAACAACTGTGTGTTTTTCGGCTCGTACTCGCATCAAATGAATTAGTTGCATTCGGTATAGGTCCCCTGCGATGGTGTGGTCATCTTTCAGAAGTTCAATATAGGACCATTTTGGTCCCACCGAACCTCGATATTTGGCAATCGAATCAACAGGATGCTTGGTCGGTCTTTCCTTTCAGCAACAGCGACTAGAGACGTATTCGGTAAACCGAAACACGAGAGAACATACTGTGGTAAATCTGGTATGAACAGTGTAAACCCTGAACATACCTGGACAAGGAAGAAAACTATTATAAGATGCCTTACATTCATCACAATTCAACACAGCAAACTTCTCATTCTTTCGATACACTCATAGGGCACAACATCTGACACACTCATTCTAGGTATACAGGTGGATAGGATCCGTATATCCCTACATTAATCCTGTATCATATACATTTAACACTAACTCATTTCCATTGCTTAGTTCTACGCTCACTCCTCTGTGGGATATCTGTTGTCTGGGCAACAGCACCGAACTTATACAGAATTGTAGACTTTACCTTTTAACTGACATCGTCTTTTAACTGGCACCTCGAAGGGATCTCTCCAATAACCGAGACAAGACAAAGTCCGATAGCCCACAGACTATCGGTCCCCTTAGTACTAGATTATGCGGTTCTCTTGTCGCCGATGATTTGATCACCACCAGTTTAAAGTCCCAGCAGACTAGAGGTACAGGTAGCACCTCTTTCCCATAGCTGCAATAACACCAAGATGAGGGTCTTTCATCAAGGTAACATGCCCCCGGGGGGATTGTTTAAGCACACGGATGTCGAAGTGCTCTACGTGAACACAAGGAAGGAAGGGAGGCCTTATTTCACGGTGATATTTTTCAACCACTGGGTGAGCTTTTGCAACAATTCACCACCGCCCCATTGTGCTTCTTACACGCTGGTAGCAATTTACATATATGGAATTTCCGCTCCAGTATACGTGCACTTTGCTCGAGTACTCGAGCTATCTAATATCTTGCCATAGTCCCGTTGGGGAATGACAGGTGTCATGAGCGAGCTCAGTCTAATCTCGACAAAGGAAAAGGC